AGGTGGTATGGTGGCTGGGGCACCAGATTCTTCATGGCCAGTGTGGTTCGAGCCTGGACCTAGCAGCACAAGGACCACACCGTGCGGTCGGGCATGCCCGAGACCCTACGAGCAGAGCAGGGCAGCAAGGGCTGCAGCGTGGCCTCCCGGGGGAGTTCCTTCCCCTCTTGGTCTTTCTCCAGTGAGCGCATGCACCCCGCGGCAGGAACATAAGCAGACAGACAGGTACTGTGGACAGAGCTATGCCCCCCAAAGGTCACTGAAGCCCTCACCCCGCTTAGATGGTCAGCCTCTGGGAGGAAGCAGGGTTAGCTCAGGTCACAGGAGTGGGACCCTGGGGGACGAGAGTCTGTTGCTGACGACAGAGACAATGTGGTCCGAGTACTCTAAGCGGATGGGGGCTCCCTGCTCTGGAGGCTCACGTCCACGAGCTTGTGCTCTGGGCTGCGGCCACACCCTGAAGCACGCCTCCACCTGCCAGCAGGCGGCACCGGGCGCTGAGTGCAGCACGACTGGAAGGGCCGTTCTGGGACCCGAATGCTTGGACGCTGGACACTCAGTCTCTACCAGCCCCAGAAGCAAGTCAGGGCTGCTTTTCTTTTATAGTTTTTTTCAGAGATTGTGGTCATCGGAGAGACAGACAGAAAGCGAGAAATCATCCCCCAGGAGGATGGCCATGCCACAATCCATTCTCCTCTTGGGATTTTGGGCACACATGAACACGCCTGGTGTGAGCTTTAAGCTGCCAGGCAGGACTCAAACCGTGGTCAACTACGCGGGAGTCCAGCAATGTAACCACTATGCAATCTTCCTGTCCCCAGGGCAGCTTTTCAATGGTTGCAGGTCTCTGCAGCACAAGCCACGCCTCTCCGGACCCCGGGGACCTGCCGCTCTTGCCTTTCTGTTGCTAGGGTCACGATGGCCTGAGCGGGTAAGAGAAACTCGGGTTACTCAGCTGACGATCTGGAGCGCCCGGACCGCACCTGGAGAGGGTCTCCTTGCTGGTGGGTGACATGGTGGGGGACAGGAGCTCGTTTCGTTCGCGCTTATAAACCCTCTGGGACTCGGTCCGGGGCCGCACCCTGATGCCTCCTCATTTCCCAATGGCCCCCACCTTCAGCACCACAATCGCATTCAGTCTCCAGTCCCCCGACACCTCACCAAATCCCAGCACACCAATCGGGGGACACATCCACAGCAGCGGTGCCTTAGAAGAAGAAATCCTAGGGCCAGCAGGTGGTGTGGTGGTTAAGGCACCAGATTCCCACATGGACAGCCGTGGCTTGAGTCCCAGACACGGTAGCTTGAAAATCACAACAAATAGGGCCGGCAGGTGGCATGGTGGTGAAGAACACTGGAACCTTCCGTGCCCAACTGTGGTTCAAGTCCTGGACCTGGAGGCTTGCTTTCTCACTTTCCCTCTCTCTGTCCCTCTCTGGTCAATTTAAAAATAAATAAATAAAGCTAAATAAAACAATTCTTTAAAAAAAAAATCACAAAAAATAAACAGGTAAATAGATAAATGTTAAAAAGAGAGAGTGGGCGTCAAGAACTTGCCCGCCTATCCACCAGGTGGGGCCGCAGCGAGGTGCAGCCTCTAGACGAGGCAAGCTGCCAGTCTGAGACGAGGACACGGGTAGGGTGGGCCTGCTGGTGCCGGGCGTGCACCTCTCAGGGGTCTCGGATGGAGCTCGGACGAGACGTGCACAGGCGAACTCTGGTTTACTGGTCATGGGCGTGCACACGCCTGGCACCACAGGCAAGAAAACGTGAGCTCCAAAAGCCTGTGGGTTCTGGACTGGCTCCTGCAGCGGGCAAGGGGCAGGGTGGACGCCTAGGGACATCCAAGTAAAGCCTCTGGTCTATTACCGGCCACACAGTCATGCGGGCATCCTGGTTTTGACAAATTTTCTTTTTTTCTTTAAAGAATTATTTTTATTTAACTTTATTTGTTATTTATTTCAATTTTACCAGAGAAGGACAGCGTGAGAGAGGGAGAGAGAGAGAGAGAGAGAGAGAAAGTGTGAAAGCAAGCTGCCAGGTCTAGGACTCAAACCATGGTCGTCCATGTAGGAGTCCAGCGCCCCTAACGACTGCGCCACCTGCTGCCCCCTTGACAAGTTATGGTTATGATGACCTTAGAGAAATGGGAAAAGCCTACAGGAATCCTCTCTACTATCTCACCAACTCTTCTGTCTATAATTATTCCAAAATAAAAAAGTTTTCTTAAAAAAGACGTTAATGGGGGACCAGCAGGTGGCATGGTGGCTAAGGTGCTGGACACTCCCACATGACCACCACAGTTTGAGTCCCGGACCTGGTGGCTTGCTTTCTCGCTGTCCCTCTCTTGCTCCCTCTCTCTGTGTCTCTTTCTGGTCAAATTTAAATAAAAGAATGAATCAATAAAATTAAATAAATCATTCTTTTAAAAGAAAGACATGAATGGAATCAGATATAAAAAGTAGATGAGAAATCATTAAGACTGGGATGACTACCTAGAGAGAGCCAATAGAAAAGGAAGCCAGTCTGGGACCACTAAATGGTGTAGCGATCATGTCACTGGGCTTCCACATGGTCGACCATAGTTTGAGTTCCAGATCCAGGAGCTTGAAACTCACCCCAGGCACTGCACGTGTGTGTGTGTGTGTGTGTGTGTGTGTGTGTGTGTGTGTGCCAAGATCCGGAGAGAAGAATGGAAGAGAAGGGACTGCAGGGTGGCCAAGCCCCCGGGGAGTGATCTCTTCCCACTATCTCTGTCTCTCTCTCTGGCACATGCCCACACTCAAAGGCAAAAACCTCTTAAAAAAAAAAGAAAAGAAAAGAAAAAAGAAAAAAAGAAAAGGAATACAGCCATGATGCGGAGGACCTGGACATTCCAGGAACAGAAACGAGCTGGCAAGGGAGGCTAAGGGGCACAAGAGGTGCCAGGAGAACCAAGGGTCACAGAGAAGGCTAGGGGAGCAAAAGCACCACCCGTCCGCGGCACAGGCTGGAAGCTGGGCTCCACATGGGGACCAGAGTTCGAAGCCCCAGCCTGGTCAGCTGAAGCCCCGGGCTGCAGGACTACAGGAAGGGGGTTGCCACATGACCAGCCCCTGGGGAGGTGCTCCTCTCACTGACGCACATACACACGTTCTACCAATAAATTTAAAAATCACAGTGACAGCACCATCAGCCACAGACGTGTCGGGCCCACTGAGGGCGCCGGGCAGCCTAGGGCAGTGGTGCTGGGTGGCTCAGCGTTCGGGTGTGGGGCTCTCGAGCTGCGGCGAGCGAGCCTCTGTGCGGGGCACCTCATGTTACAAAGCCGTCGTTTGATTTCTGACTGCTGTTCTAGAGAACTGCAGTTCACACACTGAGAATTTGGGGAGGCCCGGGCCCGCACCTGGCTGCGCTACCGCGGGTGCCCAGCACCACTCACCGACGGGGAGATGTCGTCGTCGTACTTCTTGAGCTGATTCATGAACTCCAGGTGCTTCTTCTCCTCCTCCAGTTGGGCCACCGACTGCTCGCTCTTCTGCAGCTTCTGCTGTGTGCTGGCCAGCTCGTCCCGCAGCCACTGGTTCTCCTGGCACAGACGGCGGACCTGGGCGCGCAGTTTCTGTTTCTCCGACTCCACGGCGTTCAGGTGGTTGGACAGGGCCATCATGACCTGCGCAGGACAGGAGTGCTCACTGCCCGGCTCGCCCAGCGCCCCGCGGCTGCTGCTCAGAGCACCGCAGGCGCGTCTGCAGCCGGCGCCCTTCACCTGCCCCAGATGGCGTGACGCATGACAAGGGCCACACCGGCTCCGCAGGTCCTAGGAGAATCTTCGCCTCTATTTGCAGACATCACAGTGTTGAGTATGTCCTGCTACCTAGACAGCCCAACCTACCTCCCCACGGGCCTTTGCCATGGTGAGGAGCAAGGCACAGTGTGGTCGGGGGGCCGGGGGTGGAGCTGGGGAGGGGCAGCTCCTCCTCAGCGCTCCCACAGAAGGGGGGCCGGTCAGCTGCCACCAAGAGCGACACCCCAGCACTGGGGCACGCCTGCGTCACGTGTCCACCGTTGGATCTGGTGGCCATGCCAGGGCGCTGCCTACATGTGTTCCCGAGCAGCTGCAAAGGCCACTGCGGGCCCCGAGGGCGGAGGTGAGGGCGGGCAGAGCTGGGGACAGCCAGCTGGCTTCTCTGGCCGCTCTGCGGGTCAGACAGCAGCCCTCCCCCCACCACACTGAAACCCTACGACCCTCCCAGGTTCAGACCCTGAAACTCCAGAGGCTGGGGCTTTCTTTCCTTCTTGTTTAAATCTTATCTGCTAAACCAAAAAAGTAAGTTCAAATTCACATCACCCCTCACTGGCAGGACCTGAGAGACCACAGGTTCGCAGTGTGCAAACAAGGACGAGGTGAGGACAACCCTGGGATGGGGAGGGCCACCTCCTTCTGAAAGCAAGCACTGCCCTGCAGCCCCCACACGCCCCGGGAAGTGAGGGACGAGGCTGAACCTGGCGAGGCCGTTTTACCTCAGGGCTGCTGGCAGAGCCGGGCATCAGCAGGGAGACGCGGATGCTTCTGGCTTGCCCTCTCGGCCTCCAGCAGGACAGCGAGGGGCCGCTGAGTGCTTTACTGGCTCCTCGTCCCCTCAGACTGGGCCCTGGGTCGCAGGCAGGCAGGACAGTGTGCCCTCTCACACCTCCCTGTGGCCACGGATGAACACGGGCCAAGAGCCCCGAGCATCTGCAAACCTGGAGGCCTCACGGGGAGGAGGCAGCCTCCTGGCCCTCCCCTACAGCGGAGTTGTGGGGGCTGGCTGCTGGGTGTGCCGCAGCGGGTCAAGGAGCCCCGGACGTGTCTAGGACAGCCTGCCTACGTGCTGGTCAGACCCGCTCCTGAGTGGCTCTCAGCCACTGCTTCTGTGTTCTGGTATAAGTGGCCAAGCCAAATCTTGAACGACACAAGGGGAACCTCTACTTTGACTGCGTAGTCCAGGGAAGCCCCACCAGTGGCAGCCTATGGGACCCACGTGAGCCACCCAACCGTGTGCCACTACTCGACAGACCCCTCCCCGCAGCTCACGCACGCTCCAGGCTCACCTGTGCCTCGCTCAGCCCGAGCTCCAGCATCTCCAGGGACTTGCGGATCATGCTGGACTTCTCCTCCACCAGGTTGCTCTCGTCATCCTTCTTCAGGCATTGCAGCGTCTCGAGCAGGCTCTGCAGGATGGAGTTGTGCTCGTTCTTCAGCGCCTCCAGCCCCTGGATCACCTGCTTGGTCTTGGAGATGATCTCGTCCTGCGTGAGCTTCTCCAGCTTGTCGTCCTTCACGTACACCATTGTGGACATGCTGTCGTGCATCCTGGGAGGGACCAAGCTCCCGTTACAGGCCGCACTCTGCCACCGCTCTCACCGAGGGCCACTTGGGAATGCTAATTTGCGCTTATGTGTGTGTGAATAAAACACATGTATTTCTTTTGTTGTTTTGGGGTTTTTATGGAAAGGATTTTTTTTTTTTTTTTTTTTTTTTTGCTATAGGGCGCGTGCGCTCACCGGAAAGGCAAGAGACAAACAGAGAGACAGAAAGTGAGAAACCACCCCCCGGGAGGATGGCCACACCCCAATCCCTTCTCCTCCATTCTCTTCTCAGGATCTTGGGCATTCACATGCACCCAGTGTGAGTTTAAGCCACCGGGTCCAGGACTCGAACAGCGGTCAACTACATGGGAGTCCTGCGACATAGCCATTACGCCAACTGCTGACGCCAACATATGTATTTGTAACTTAAGATCTGGAGATGATGGCAACCAGCAGGTGGCATGGTGGTTAAGGTGCTACACACTTCCATGTGGTCAACCATGGTTCAAGTCCCAAATCTGGTGGCTTGCTTTCTCACTTTCTCTCTCTCTCTCTCGCTCTCTCTCTGGTCAAATTAAAATAAATGAATGAATAAATAAAATTAAATAAATCATTATTTTTTCTTTCTTTTTGGAGAGTTTTTTTGCTATAGGGCGAGTGCACTCACCAGACAGACAAAGAGAGACAAAAAGCGAGAAATCACCCCCCAGGGGGGATAGCCACGTCGCAATCCCTTCTCCTCCATTCTCCTCTCGGGATCTTGGGCACGCACGCACACGTGCCCAGCGTGAGTTTAAGCCACCGGGTTCGGGACACAAACCGCAGTCGACTACGTGGGAGTCCAGCGACATAGCCATTACGCTAACTGCTGGTTCCCTAAATAATTCTTTTTAAAACAATCATTTAAAAGATCTGGAAATGCCATATGCTGAACTATTTCTGATTTTTCTCTCCTTTTATTTTTATTTTTATTTTTGGAGAGAGGTTTGATTTTTGTTTGTTTGTTTTTCTATAAGGCACATGCGCTCGCCAGAAACACACAGACAGAGAGACAGAAAGCGAGAAATCACCCCCCAGGGGGGATAGCCACGTCGCAATCCCTTCTCCTCCATTCTCCTCTCGGGATCTTGGGCACGCACGCACACGTGCCCAGCGTGAGTTTAAGCCACCGGGTTCGGGACACAAACCGCAGTCGACTACGTGGGAGTCCAGCAACATAGCCATTGCCGGTCCCAAAAGATGGAATTTCTTTAAAAACCCACAGAAGGGCCACCCCTGTTGCACAGCAGTGAGGTACATGCCTGGGGACAGACCTCCGCCCCCGCCAAGACTTGCAGGATCTCCAGGTTGTTCTGAGTAACCACAGCAAATTTTTATCATGCCTTTATTTCTAAAAAGAAAATAACCCTTCTCTTTAAGGTTTCTGTCACAGGTGCAGGCTCTTAACAGAGACAGAGAAAAAGTGAGCCACCCCAGACAGATGGCTAGACTGCAACCCTTCTCTGTTTCCCTCCTGAGGTCTTGGGCACGAATGCACTGGTGCTCAGAGTGACTTTCAAACCGCAGGGCCCGGGGCTTGACCCCTGGTCGGCCATGTGGGATCCAGTTGGCTTACCCCCCACTGGCCCTGAAAAGAACTCTATAAAGTCCCATTACCTGCTCCACGAGGGCAGAGGAACCTCGTGCTAAATCGCAGTCTACCTCTGGAGTAGGTTCCTGTACACAGGAGGCCCTGCACTGGGCCACACCTCTTAAAGTCGCTGCTCAACAGGCACGGCCACCACAGCCTGCTAGCTTTCAAGTCTCCGCATTTCCAGAAACCATGCATTCTGCTCTGTGCCTGAAGAGAGTCACCACCTAACGTGAGTGGACCAAAATAACCCTAAAACAATTTTTATTTTAACTTTTTAAAAAATGTGTTTTTAGGTCTTTGTCATAGGGTGTGTACATTCGCCAGAGAGGAGAGAAACAGATACAGGGAGAGGGAGCGCTCGCCCCCTGGGATGGCCTCGCCGCAATCCCTTCTCCTTCGCTCTCCGCTCGGGACTTTGGGCAGCATGCAACGTGTGACTCGCATGATTTTCAGCTGCTCGTCCGGGACTCGATCTGCAGCCGGGCATGTGGGAGTCTGGTGCCTTAACCACCATGTCACCTGCTGGTCTCAATTTTAACTTAATTTTTAAAAATTTTGCCAGAGGGTACATGTGCTTGCCAGAAAGAGACAGAGACACAGAGAGGAAAAAGGCAACCCCCATGAGGTGTTATCACACCCCAATCCCTTCTCCGTTTTCCATCTTGTTACCATTTGGGGCACACGGGTAGCAGGCATGTTTTTCAAGCTATCTGGGCCGGACTCGAACCACATGGCTAGCCTGTGCGATCCGGCTCCCTCAACCCCGAAGCCACCAGACTAGCCCTTACCTAACTTCAGAGCTTGTCCTGTCCCCATTACCTCAGGCAGTGACGGGTCTCTGCTGTCCTCACTGGGTAGCACAGTGGCTTCAAACGCACTTCCGCATACCTGACTCCCAATCACTGTCACACGCCACACTGGAAGGACAGACTGGGAACGGCAGGACAGACGAGTGTTCTGTGCCTAGACCTCTGACTAAGCCCTGCCTGTGGGAGATAAACGGTGCTGTCTCTCCTCTTTAAAGTTTATTGAGAGGGGGTTGGCAGGTGGCATGGTAGTTAAGGCACTGGACTCCCACATGGCTGACCATGGTTCAAGTCCTGGACCTGGCAGCTTGCTTTCTCACATTCTCTTTCTCATTAAAATTCTTAATTAATTAATTTTTTAAAATCTTCCAACAGTTTATTAAAAAAATGTAGACAATTTTTAAAAATCCCCACTTGGGACCAGCAGTTAGCGTAATGGCTATGTCGCTGAACTCCCATGTGGCCGACTGCAGTTCAAGTCCCAGACCCGGTGGCTTAAACTCATGCTGGGCGCGTGTGTATGCGTGCCCAAGATCCCAAGAGGAGAATGGAGGAGAAGGGATTGCGGAGTGGCCACCCCCCCGGTGGGTGATTTCTCGCTTTCTGTCTCTCTCTTTCTCTGTCTTTCTCGCGAGTGCACCGCCCTATAGCAAAAACCTCAAAAAAAAAAAAAAAAAAAAAACACTGTCATGAACATAAATTGAGGTTTTTCAGCCCTAGTATAAGCTGAATCAAAAAAAAAAGAAATAAAAAATCCAAGAGTGTATTAACAATTTTTTTCACTCATCTGCCACACTGACGGTGCAAATACAAATCTGGTCTAAACGTCCAGACCCTCAGGTATCACTGGACAGCTTTCTGTGTCGTCCATGCTGAGAGACGTGAAAGCTTACGGGCCAACGGCAGCAAAGGCACAGGCTTCAGAGCCGCCTCAGGAGGGCACTCACTATGCGCGCGGAGCCGCAGTGGGGGCGCTGACCACTGAGCACTTACACACAATAACGTCAAGTGCATTTTTTGAAAAATAAACTTTAGCAGAACAATCCTTAAAGATACAGCAGAGGGACAGGTGGTTACCAGTTTCAGGTATCAGCCAATTTTTGTTTCAGCCTCTTTGAATCCATGTGCTAAAATCTAAAATTGAGTTCCCTCTCCCTAAGCTGAGAGCTTCCTGTCATGTCAGTATCTATGTTATAAAGTAACGGAGACGTAGGTGAAATGTTTTTATTTAATTAATTTTTTTAAAAAAAGTTTCTTTCCTCCTTTCATCAGAGACAAATAAAAAGAGAAACACAAGCCCCCCCATAGGGTCTCAAGCCACCACCTGCCTGCAGCCTCCCCTCCCAGCTAGCCAGGAGCAGCGTGTGCACAGCACAGCACAGGCCGCCCCAGAAGCAAAGCCACCTCCCACAAGGCCCGGCTGGGAGGAACTGGGACATCATCCTTTTGTTCTGCGTTTGCCAGAGGGCACGTGTGCTTGCAGGAGAGAAGACAAAGACGGAAAGTAAGGAAGCTCGCCGAAGGAAGAAAATGCTACAATCCCCTTTCCTCCCGCTTCCTCTCGGATTTGGGGCATGCACACATGCACGGTGTGCTCTTTTTTTTTTTTTTTTGGAGAGGTTTTTGCTATAGGGCGCATGCGCTCGCCAGACAGACAGATAGAGACAGAGACAGAAAGCAAAAAATCACCCCCCAGGGGGGATGGTCACACCGCAATCCCTTCTCCTCCATTCTCCTCTCGGGATCTTGGGCACACACACACACACATACACACACACACACACACACACACATGTGCCCGGCGTCAGTTTTAAGCCACCGGGTCCGGGACGCGAACTGCGGTCAACTACACGGGAGTCCAGAGACATAGCCATTACGCCAACTGCTGGTTCCCGCACGGCGTGTTCTTCAAGTCCCAGTCTGGGACCTGGCCGTGCAGTGAGCCATGTGGGATCCAGCTCTAGCATGAACAGCTTTCACCTCTTGAGAGCAACACTGGAAGCAGGCAATCACGCAGGCCTGCGAACGTGGGGCAGAGAGCCATCCCGACCCAGACCGCGCACCCAGCCAGACCCTGATCAGCGGGGACAGCAGAAAAGCTGTTTTCAGACAAACGGCATCTCCACACACTCCTCCCCACACCCTGCCCGGCCTACTGCAAGGTGTGCACGACCAAGGAATCGGGTCAATCGAAGAGAGGCTGGGACACGGGACACAGGCCCGAGATGGGGCCCAGACGGGCAGGCACCCAAAGCTCGGCACCTCCCACCAAGGCTGGACTTGTGCTAGGTCTGAACAGCGGGAAAATAAGACCAAGATACTGAAAGGGAAGGAGGGTTGACCGGAGACCTGGGACCTGACCACGCAGCTCGGCGGGGGAACTTGGCCAAATCAAAACACGTCCCCTCCCTGGAGCTGCCGTGACACCCCGGATGCACAGGTGCGGCGAGGAAAAGGGGAGGGCCCTGAACGCCTCTGGTGGGAAGTCAGGAACTGGAAAACCATCCAGTAGCAAAAGAAGCACGCTACTTAGGAACAGTGCTGGTCGTGGAAATGTCCACATCT